CGGTGATTTAAACGCACACAGGCAGCGGGGCAGCGAACGTGCTGCACTTCTTGGCCGGGGCTGCTTGGCGGGGGTGTCCTCCTCCTGCTCATCCTCTGCTCACATCACCAGCGGGGGCTGAGCGCTTGCTGAGGAGTGGCCAAAATGGGCCCTGTGAGAAAGGGGAGGGTGCCAGGGGGCTTCAACATGGGGTGTTTGGCTGGGGGCTCCATGCTGCTGGGAGCCTGGGTGATGGAGGAAGGGGTGAGCCTGTCCCAAATGGGACGATGGTGGGCAATGGGGAGAGGTTTAAGAAGTGGCTCCCCCCGCACCAAACATCCCCCCCCACGAGGAGGGTCCCCCTGCAAGAGGAGTGGGTGCCCAGGGGTCTGAGCCACCTGATGGGCACAAGGTGGGCAACTTTAGGGCTCTGAGGAGGAAGGGCCACTGCTCTGGTGACCTCCTGCCACCACCTTCCCTGACCCTGAACGCTCTCCTCATCTTCCCTGCACAGCGAGAGTGGCCGCCCCTTCTTCCTCTACCTGGCACTGGCCCACATGCACGTCCCGCTGGGGGTCCCCTCGCTGTCACCCTCCTCTGCCTCAGATGGGGGCATCTACGGAGCCTCCCTGCGTGAGATGGATGCCCTGGTGGGACGGATCAAGAGGGTCGCTGACCACCACGGCAAGGGCAACACGCTCCTCTGGTTCACAGGTACCCAAAAACCAGCGGGGGTGACAGCGGTGGCTGGGGGTGACACCCAGGACCCCTGTTTGTCCCCTGTCCTCCACGGTCCCGGCTGCTCTGCAATGGGCAGTGATCAGCAGTCATGGCCAAACCACCCAGGGTTGTCACATCGTGGGGACGGGGGTCCCGAGCTGCTCCCAGGTGCCCACCCCGCCACCCCCCTTCAGCCTCGGGGCTGAACCGGCATGGCCAGGCCTAATTAAACCACAAATCCTCATTCATTAAGAAGCCCAAATCCGCTCTCGCTGAGCAGCCTCCCTAATGAGGATGTCTTGCTCCTGACGACAGGAACCCGCTCATTAACGCCCAAAGCTGGTGGTGGCTGTGCCCCCTCCCCCTCACTGTGCCCCAGCTTTGCTCCAGCCCCTTAACCAGGAAAACAAACTTTTTAGAAATAAAAATAAATCCACCCACTGCTCTTGCTAATGTGGGAAAACATCACGGCGACGGGAAGGAGAGGTAAAGGGGTCACTTGTCCTTGCTCGTCCCCATTACAGAGCTGTCCCCCCCAGCCCCCTGGTCCTCGTGTTGCTCATGGGGACATTTCTTTCTCTTGCAGGTGACAACGGCCCCTGGGCACAGAAGTGTGAGCTGGGGGGGCGCCCGGGGCCCTTCGTTGGGGCCTGGCAGCGGCAGAGAGGTAACCAGGCAGTGGGGGGCACTCGGGGGTGCAGGAGGGTGCTCCACATCGCCCTTCATTGCCATCAAGAAGGACATGGGGAGCGTTTCCCCCCCCCAGCCTTTCCACCGGCTGCTGCCCAGCGCTGAGTTGTCTTGAAGACACCCCAGAATAATTCTTGCCTTTCAAGCAATCAAGTTTTCCCCTAAAACCGCTGCCATGGGGGGAGCTGGCCCTTCCTGGTCCCTGTTACCCCAAAACCTGAGGCGAGCGGCTGCTGGTTTCGGGGTTGGGATGCTCTCACCGCCCAAGCACCGGGGCCACGGGCAGGGTCTCACAGCCCCCAGCCCCATCCCAGTGCACCCAGCAGCCCTCCCAGCGCTGCAGGACTTTGCTTTTCTTTCTCTCCACTGTTTTGTTGGGTTTTGGAGGGGTTTTTTTTGTTATTTTCTTCTCCCTTTTCTCCTTTTCCGGCCAAGCCATCTGCTTGGTGGGTTTCTTGCAGCCAGAAGCACGCATGAGTCAGGCGTTTCCCACTTCTGCTTGTATTACGCAGCGTCAACGCGCTCGGTTCCCCTCTTTGCTCGGGGTCAGTGGGCAGGGGAGGGAGCGGTGGCGAAGGGGCCGCGGGCTCCTCTTCCCTCCTCCACTTCCTGACACCCAGGCGATGCAGCCGTGGCCGCTTCCCCGCGCAAACGCCACCGCCGGGCTGGCTCGCATTCCTGTTCCCAGAGCCTTTCCTTCGGCTGGCCCCGTGATGAAATCGTAACCTTAATTTATTATTATTTTATTTTTTTAGTAAACAAACCCTGCTGACGACCTGGGTTGCTCTTGAGCAACCGGCGGTCACAAGTCGGAGCAGATGGTACAGGCAGTTCAGCGTTCGGGAACAAAGCTAGGAAAACACGGCCCCTTTCCAGCCTCTCACTGCCCAGCCAAAACACCCCGAGCCCCGACCATCGCGTGAGGCTGGGCTGGAGGAGCCGGCTGTAAATACCGGCTTCCCAAATCCCTCACCCTGTTGTTCACGGGTGTTTTGAAAGCCAGCTCGGTGCTGCTGGGCTAATGCTGTGGGTGCTGGCTGGGGGGATGCGCAGCCATCCCAAGGGCTGCTCAGGCTCCATACGTTTCCTTTTACGGCCCACCCCAAATTCCAGGGATGTTTGCCATTGATTTCAGTGGTTTTTTTGCCATCCTCTCTACAACTACCTGTAAGGAGGGTGGAGCAAGGTGGGTGTTGGTCTCTTCTCCCAAGTAATAAGCGATAGGGTGAAAGGAAGCGGCCCCAAGTTGCGCCAGGGGACGTTTACATTGGATATTAGGGAAAATTTTTTGTACTGAAAGAGTGGTCAAGCACTGGAAGGGGCTGCCCAGGGAAGTGGTGGAGTCACCATCCCTGTTGGGGTTCAAAAAAGGTGCAGATGTGGCACTTGGGGTCATGGTTTAGTGGGCATGGTGGGGTTGGGTTGATGGTTGGACTTGGTGATCAAAGTAGAACACTCATGGGCAGCTCTGGTGTCCTGCCCAACCAGAGGTACTCGTGTGTCTGGAGGGAAATACCCCCCAAAGTCCTCCTGAAGACCCCCAACCATGCATGGAAAAGCCTTGAAATGCAGCTGCCTTACCGGGAGGACGAGTTATTTAATATACGTGCAGAGGTGGGGATTGATATTAATTGCTCTAATTGCTATGATGTCCTAGGGTGTCTGGAGGCAGGGGAGGCGCCTTGCTCAAGCTGTACGTGATGCGCGTTGGAAGCTCTGTAATGTGTCCTGTAGCCACAAGAAACCTCTGTGCTGGCTCTGTCCCACGGCTTCGGGCCCCAAATTGAAGCTCATCAGCAGGGAACACCCAAAGTTGCCATACATGCACCCCTCCTCTCCATCGCTTGGGAGCATGGAATCAGCCCTGGCGCCCTCAGCACCCAGCAATGACTCCCAGAGAGGCTGGGCCAGGTGGGGGACAGGGACACAGAGGACCACGGGGTGACCGTGCTGCGGTGGGGCTGTCGCCTGCCTTGGCTCTGCCCGGAGGAAATGGCTTTGGGCGAGCGCCGTTGCCATGCGCACGCTGAAAGGCGGGCGGACAAAGGCTGCGATGGGAAGTTTGCTCCGTGAATCGGGTTGGGATTTTCTCTTTGCCCCATTCCCAGCCCCTTCCTCCCTCAGCTGCTGGGGGCCCTTTGGGCTACGGCCAAAGCAGAGGCTTTTCCACCCATGTCGATGCTTAGCACCCCCATTTCAGTGCTCAGCATCACAGGAGGAGGAAGGCACTGGGCAGCTTCCCTGTGCCATGCATCCCAAGGGCAGAGCAAGGAAGTTTTGGGTGATGCCAGGGAAATCCCTGGACAGGTTAATTAGCCAGCAGCAGGGTTATCAGCAGGATGGTAGATTTAATGAAGCAGGTTTCCAGTGGGCTGGGGTGGCTGTTGGTGCTCTACCACACACAGGACAGCAGCCATTCGCAGCCCCTGCTGTAAATTCCTGCATTTCCCACTTGTTCCATATTTTTGCCCGGTATCAGAAGAGGATGGAAATGTGGCACCTCCAACAGCTGCCTGTGTTTCTCATCGCTCGCTGGAGCAGAAGGGAAACACAACGCAGTGCCAAACTGAGCCCCCTTTCTTTTCCCTTGCCCTATTTCTTTTAAAAACTCCCGTAACTCCTCTCTTTCCGCTGACCCAGCTCCCTCTCTGGTGAAATCACCCTTTTTAGGGTCATTTACCCCATCTCTGCCTCCCAGTAGTTCCTTTCCCTGGGAAACCCCGGGATCAGGAGGTTTTCCCATCAACGCAGACCTCCTGGGCCACAGGATCATAAAATCACCGAATAAAGCCATTTAAGGTCATCGACCATAACCCGTCCACTATTAACCCATGTCCCCAAGCACCTCACTACCCGTCTTTTTAGGATGCTGCCCTTTTCTCTCGCAGGCGGGAGCTCGGCGAAGCAGACGACGTGGGAAGGAGGGCACCGGGTGCCGGCGCTGGCGTACTGGCCCGGCCACGTCCCTGCCAAGCGGACGAGCCCCGCTCTGCTCAGGTAGGAGCCAGTGGGATCACACTGGGGAGCAGGGCCACTTCTCAACCCCGCTTTGGCAGGAGCCAGGTGGAAATCTGGAGTTTGGCATGCCGACATTGCCTGCCTTGTGCCAAACTCTGTGCTTTTGTCCTCTCCCAAGCCTGTAAGACTTAATGCTTCAGCAGAGAGGAGCTGAAAGGGCTTTTTGTGAGGCCGCCGGGCTCCGTGTGCCTCCTGGCCGCGGTGGCCGATGCCTCCCGATAATTAAAAGATGACGATGTTCTCTCTCCCCACCAAGGAGCAGGCTTAAGCTTTGTGGTTTGTGAATGGCTTTATGTGGAGGAGGGTGCGGTTGTGGGAAAGGCTGGCCGGGGAGATGGCGCTTGCAATCGGCACAGGATGCGGCCGGGCTGGGAGGCAGCGAGAGCGGAGGGGAAGGGCTGCCAGGGAGCACAGCACTGCGGAGGGGTCCTTCCTGCAGCGATATTGCACCCCTGCATGCAGCAATTGCACCTTGCCCTGTGGCAGTTGCAGCTCTGCATGCAGCCATTGCATGCCTTTATCTCCTCCAAGCCCTCATCTCCTGCATTTCCCAGCTCCGGCCCAGCAGGTTGGGCAGCTGGAAATCCAGAGAGCTGGTGGTGGTGTGGCTCTCTTCCCCAGGAGTCACATCTCCTTTTGGGCAGGGGATGCAGAGGGATGTGGAGGGGTACGGAGGGATGCTGAGGGATGTGGAGGGGTGCAGAAGGATGCAGAGGGGTGCAGAGGGATGCAGGAGCCATGGGCTGTTCACTGCTCGCAGTACCTTGTGGCAGGCAGCTTTTCCCTATACCCAGAGTCACCCTTGGGTACACCCCTCAAAGGATGGGTGTGTGCTGGGTGGGCTTCTTGCTGCCCTCATGAAATAGGGCAGTTGAAGACTTGTTCCCCCCCAGTGATGGTGAGTCCTGAGAAGCTGGGGAAGGAGTAAAATCTGATGTGTCTGGGAGACCTCTGCACATGAGGAGGGACCTCCATCGGGTGGGATCCCCCGGGAATAACAGGAGCTTTTCCTCAGCATCGCTCGGTTTTGCATCCTCCCCGGCGTAGGGAGCCGAGGGGTGAGTGAGGGTGAGCGTGCCCCAGGGCCGGGGAAGCTGGAGCCAGCAGAGAAATGCTGACACATTGCCACAGACCTGCACCTGCACGCCGGTTTCTGCAGAAAACTGCCTCGGCGGCTTTCCTTAATTGTGTTTAATTGTCGGAGCCACCCGCCATGCTTCTGCCTCAACCCGAAGTAGGGCACGGCAGAAGTAGGTCAGTGGGGTGGTGAGGAAACCGATTGCACCACCCTGGCTGTGCCGTGGGGCTGGGCAGGTTGGGCAAGCTGTTGGGGTGTGGGGAGAGCCAGTTGGGCGGCCTGCGGCTCCGTGGCGTGCCCAGGATGCTCCCCGCTGGCTCTGCCCCTCGGCTGCGGGCAGGGAGCTGCCGGGCCCTGGGCGCTGCAAGGACCTGGGCGCTGCCAGGACCTGGGCGCTGCCAGGACCTTTCCCTCGGCATCTGGGGCAGCAGCAGGACACTGGAGTGGTTTTATTTATTAAATCCCCCTTAGCTGGGGCTGGTGTTGACAGCGTGGCTTCCCCTTTCCCTGCAACGCAGCTCGCAGGATGTGCCCGCTGAAGGGGCCTTTGCTTTAATGCCAACTTTAACTAAATTCCTATTTTTTCCACGGGTTACACCTCTGCATTCAGTTGCCTTGTCCCCCCACCCCGGTGACACTGGGTTGGGGCTGCTTGGAGCATCCGGATCCTGGGGCTCGAGGGGGCTGAGCACCCACGGGGCCCGGCACCCATGGGACCAGGAGGGCACCGTTTCGGGTGGGCCTGCGCCGCCCCCTGCGCGGTGCCTGCAGGGATGTGCCCCGCTTTGGGCGCAGCGGGGAGCCAGGATTCTTTCCGCGCCGTAGCGGGGCTGCCTCTCAGCAGTGTTTGTTCTTATTTGTTCTCTCTGTCTCTTAGCAGCTGAGTGAAAACGCCTCGAAGGGGAGAACCAGGGGCCCTTAAGCCCTGGGCTCTTTGCTCTCTCCGCTCACGCAGCCGCCGTCACACACTGGGCAGGAGAAATTGGGTGGCAGGGCCAGGGTGGCCCCCACTTGCTGGACCCGACCTTTTTGCCTGCCCCAAAGAATTCCTTGCCCAAACCAACCCCCTGAGCTGCCCACACGAGGATTTTGCAGCCACAGGAGTGGGTCAGACGTGGGCTGTCCACACAACGTGGCCAGTGGAGGGGGAAGCCCATGGCCAGGCTGCACAAGGGGCTGGTGGCCAAGCTGGGTGTCCCCGTCCCACCCCAGCAATGACTTTGCATGACCCATGGTCCCTCCTGTGGGGATGTGCTTCTGGGTGGGGAATCAGGTGGGGCACAGGCAGCAGGCTCCCCCTGCACCCTCGCAGAGCTGGACGGACACCGGGTCATCCCCGTGCCCCTCCGCACACAGGAGCGACCAGAGGCTCCGACCGAGGACTCGTCTGTGGATGAGGCCCCTGAAAAAACCCGGGAGGTTCACGGTGGAAATGCTGACAGGCGTTTTGGTGTGGTGGTGTGGGGCGGGGGATGTCCCGAAATCGCACCGCTCTCATTTTCCATTCTGGCTGCGCCGGCTCCGG